ATCAAATGCTGCACAAAGGTTATATTTGCACAATACAATATTTATATTTCTGATGGACTTTTTATAGCTATTTCCTACTAAATCAATCTCTATGTGAATATTTCTTTTCCTTCTCCCTTTGTATACACTCTTCCCACTAGTCCTGTATTTAATTAGCTTGTAAACTCTTTGGAGAGAATGCCTCTAGGTTCTCAACTATACTATAGCACATACTTGTTCTGCACAGTTTAAAAGCAATTGCCCTAATACAATAGGACAGGACCCAGAAGACACAAATGAGTGTTATATCCACATTTCTTCAAACTGGGCACATACAAACACAACACCAATTGAGTTTCTCCTTAATACCCCTTATTATGGAAAAACAGAAGGGTTGTACTAGCTGGCCTGCCATTATTCTGGATTTGAAACCAGACAGAATTTACCAATTCAGTTAGCGTCTTTAATGTGAACTCTCAGTGAAAAATTGATACTTATTTCAAAGTGTTCACACATCCCATTTTATAATGGACAGTGATAGCAATATGTCTAAATACGCCAACTGCACCCTTTCCTGGCAGTTGGGGACCTCGAAACTGTGGTACATGCAATGGTAACCTCTCATCTCGATTTCTGCAATGCACTCTACAGAGGGCTGCCCTTGTGCCTAGTTCAGAAACTTCAACTAGTACAGAATATGGCAGCCAGGTTGGTCTCAGGTAAAACCATAAGAGACCATATAACACCTATTCTAAAATTGCTTCACTGGCTGCCTTTCAGTTTCCAGGTGCAGTATAAGATGTTGGTTATTACCTTTTAAGCCCTAAATGGCTTGGATCCAACCTATCTTCAGGACCGCCTCCTTCCGTATAATCCACCCCACGCACTTAGGTCCTCTGAGAAAATTTTACTGCAACCTATAAAAATGAGATTATCTACAACTGCACAGAAGACCTTTTCGGTTATAGCTCCCAGACTTTGGAATGGCCTGCCAGATTAGATTTGTCACTAGACCACCTTAAACAGCTTTTAAAAAGCTGTTAAGACAGATCTTGTCTGGCAGACCTTTCCTGAGTAGGTAACCGGCCACCGAAAATAGTTATGCCTGTCCCTGATTTTCGTTGTAGCTATTTTAAATTATTTGTTTTTCTAATTGTAAAGTATGTTTTTATATTCTATTTAATTGTATTTTTGGGGGGTGGGCTACTAAGCGATGGGATTATTTGTTTTATCTTGTGAGCCACCTCGATTGTGTTTTACAGAGAGGCAGGATATTATTATTATTATTATTATTATTATTATTATTATTATTATTATTATTATTATTATTAGTCAGCCAGAAGACTGTTTGCCCCTAGTCAGGAAATTAGAAGACTAAAACCTGTACAAACAGCTGTGAAAGAACTAGGTAAGATCCTCAACTGTAAAGATATCTCATTCGATACTAAAGTCAGATTATTTATGCTGTAGTAGAATCATAGAATCATGGAGCTGGAAGATACCACAAGGGACATCCAGTCCAACCCCTTGCCATGCGGGAACTCACAATCAAAGCATTCCCAACAGATGGTCATCCAGCCTCTGTTTATAAACCTCCAAAGGAGAATCCACCACCCTCTAAGGCAGCCTGTTCCACAGCTGAATAGCTCTTACTGTCAGGAAGTTCTTCTTAATGTTTAGGTGGAATCTCTTTTTCTGTATCTTGAATCCATTGCTCCATGTCCTAGTCTCTGGTCTCACTCTCAACAGTGGCAACTGGGAGCTTCCACACCACTGGGGCAAGGAATCTCCTTCAGGTCATAATATCAACAGGAAAAGAAATGTTGAACCTAACCCCCAAAATTGGTTCAGCACTTTGGGAAGCACAATTTAAGTTCAAACTAAAACCCAGAGCAGAGGCACCTCACTACTGCCATTGAAACCAACAGCTGCCAATGATTCCTAGATATAATCCTATATAACAGGGGCAGCAACCTGTACTCCTGCTGTTGTTGTTGGACTGTAACTCACATCAACCATAACTAGTATAGCCAGTGGTGAGGAAGGACATATACATGAAACAATGCACATGTAAACACATTTAGGTGTGTATGACATTGTCATTTAAAGAAATAATTTTAATTTTGTTATGCTTATGTCACAACTATTGCCATTATATTCAGCGCTTTAGGGGAATTATGATTTAATAATAAATGTATTATTATTATTTAATTATGATTTATGAGTAACATTAGTACAAAAAACATTACTAAGGATTCTGTATGATGTGGTATGGGAGGAGGTCAATGGGAAGGATGACACCATGAATTACCACACTGAGTGATGTCAACCCTATCTACAACATAGACTTTAATATTGCTTCCATGGCTAAGCACTATGCTCTTGACAAGAAATCAATTTTTTACCAAATATTGAGGGGGCCTGCAACTGCTCTATGAATTCAGGAGAGAGATCCACAATTCTTTTCCTGTTCTTTCAAGATCAACCAAAGTAGACCTTTGTTCCTCTTGGTAACTTTTGACATGGTCTTCAGTATTCATACCTGTTATCAGTAGCATCCCCACACCGGGTGCTGGGACTTTCAAGGGGTGAGACCTCCAGTGCCGGGACTTCCAGCTTTTGGGATGGGGGATGCCCGCATGGGCTGAAATGGTACTTGTGTGGGCCAGAACAGCCAGCAGTGCCTGCACAGGCCAGAGGAGTGCCCACATGGGCTGAAACGGGGCCTATGCAGGCCAGAGCAGTGCTCACTTCTGGGGTGTCACCCAGTGTGGTACGCACTCCCCG